GCTCGTGCTACTGCAGAGCTATACAGGAGTTTACAGGAGGCATCAGTAGTGATCGACAAGGACCAGAAGAATGTCCCCACAAACCGCTACAAAAGATCAGAGAGATGTTAAAGGGGTGGATCGTTGAATGAAAACATGTCATTGACGAGTCATGCAAGGTCACGATATGCCCTGAGATGTAAAATGTGAATATATGTGGAGCTAGCGCGCCCTCCACAGAAAGGTCTCGCATTTGTGGTTCTCCAGAACCTCGATGGATTTCTGTTACCTTTTCATGCATGAGCAGCTGTGCTGTAAAATTAGCGTGATTTCCTAGTATTTCTTGCGTTTGTCCTTCGAATGTTCTATCTCCTCACTATATTAGAAGTTTCAGGGACAACAACATTCAGACGAAAGAAGCTGTTGTGGAGTTTATCAACAACAAGAAGGCAGATTTCAAGCTCGAAGTGCGTCATTTTTGTCATTTCCGTTTGATTTTTTTTAGATCTTCGTTTGGCTGCGTTCACACTTTACGACTCGTGCGCTACGTTGTCAGTCCTTGGACTGATATAACTACTTATTCGTTCACACTGCTGTTCACCGATGATAAGAGCATTTACGACTTGTTTTGACCATTCCACCTGTCCAGCGGCTAGTGGAAAAGTGTGGACTGAATCGCACGTGAAAGTATAAACGCGCCCTCAGTCATCAAAAGTGAAGTTATACCCATCTTATAGGATTGTAGACCCATACGAGGAACAGAGCGACCTCACGGCCGCTTTGACAATGTATGAAATAGCCATTGATGCAGACTGGCTGGTTTGGTAACCAGCGCAAAGCAGATTCTTGCCTGCATGGCTTTCTTTTTCATGTTCTGGGCAACCTTTGAAATTTACCTTTTATTATCCATCCTTCTATAGCGTGTAAAGTTCCAGTATATTTCATCTACCGTTGTTTAAGGTAGAATCATCGCCATTGCACGCTGGAGGTCCCTCAGCTGCTTCTGTCATATCAGAATGTAGTGTTAGCAGTTTACCAAGTGATGCGCATCGCCTCGATCTCGATTATTCCCGACTCAAAGCAGAACACCGTAAACTACAGCGTCATCTGGAGGTTAAATTTTGTTTTATTTTCATATCCAGTACCTTCAGTACTTCTGCACAATGTTTTCACGCGCTTGTCTAGAATCATTGACGGCTGCGTCCAGAAATTGTGCTAAATCATGAAAATCACGATAAAGGGCCGTAGCATAGAAGTGTTCAATGCGTGCGGTAGTTTTCAGTGATACATGGCATTGGCAATAATTAAAGTTGGGGAAATTTCTATGCATTGCAAACTCATGATCGTATTTGTCAGGCAGTTCGTCACGATCGTTATCGCGCCCCTGACGTTAAAGAAGCTGTACGTCGACTGCTCAAGGTGATCCGGTGTCTTTAGAATGGTATCGATCCAAAGAAGAAAAAGTTCAGTTGTTAGATGCTGCTATAGATATTATCGACGGAAATGTGATACTAGCCGTAAGTTTATTTATTTATTTATTTATATGACTATTCATTTATTTATTTATTGTCTCTTTAAGCTTGTAATTATTTCGTTCTCTTTTACTTCGAGTGCTGATATTATTTTTAGGTTGTTTTATTTTTGAAAAGCTCATTGATGGATTCGCTGTTTCGGGACCTGTTGCTGAGGAAACCGCAAGCTGCGGACGAGTACGTAGCCTATTTGAAAACGGCAAGAGACTACGATGAATTGACCACCACGCTATTGTAAGCCTTCCACTTCTAAAACATTCCGGCGCCAATGAGATTTATCCTCTTTGAGCGCCCTCGGAAGGAACGCTGATGCAGCTATGGTGGAATTCTCCGCAGCGATTCGGCATCAGGTTCCCGACCAGAAGGTTTGTTTCAGATTTGCTCTCGCTGAGGATAGAAATGATGGAGTAGAACTTGATCAAATTTAGGTACAGGCTTTGAAGAAATGTGTACGGAGTGGCTTCAGTGATCCCACGCTGGGTGCAGAAACGGCCGTTGTCACTGACTATATCAGCCTTTTAGAGCGGCAAATGCCTATCAATGTGAGTTATGAGGTTTACCTTGTGCATTTTTGCCTACAAGGTTTTTCTTAGACTGTCAATAAAGCTACTGTATTTAAGGCTGCTGATGATCAAAGCAAAAATACCATTTTCTCCGCATTCCCGAAAAATGCATCTCTTGTGGGAAAACCTGTCATTGCCACGTATTACTACTGTTGTCTTTATCACTACGATGACCCAAGCGGTAAGTTTTCCTATTTGCTTCATTCTCCTCTCGTGTTCTGTATATAATTTCTGCTGATCATTGGAAATTATGTGCCCGTAGCATCACACTGCTTTCATACTTTGCGGCTAAAGCATAGAGAATCGGCGTTGGAAGAAAGGGATAGGAGAATCGGCTCAGAGAGAGCGCGTGTCATGGAAGGTGTAGGTCTCGATGTGGCGTTCTGGGAAAGTAGAAACATCAACGTTTTGGGAGGAGGCGCGCCAAGGAGTGAATGGGCATCGTTCGACCCAAACGCCCGTTCTCCTCAACGCATCGCTAGCTCGCTAGCCACCAGCGCCGAGCGATGCCCGTCCACTGTTTGATGCGTATTCTCCTTGTCAATTCTCAGGTTCTCCTAATCTCCCTTTCTCCCACGCCAGATCGATACCGATACTTTTGTTTGGCGCCCATTTTCCCTAGTCATCGAATCGCCAGTTCTCCTATTCCCGGTCGTAGGGTTGAACGCAGCCTTTGTGATGTGGTATGGTTAATGCTGACTGAAGTACTCTTCCTCCACCCTCTCCCCTCTTGGCAGTTCCCATCACGGCTACATTCTATGGTTTCTTCCTTTTCGCTCACGCTTTTGTTTATTTTTCACAAAACTCGTCTCTTTACTAAGCACGTTCTGCTTGTCAAATTGGCCAGTTGTTGGGCTTAAAGGCAGTTGGCACGATAAATACCTCAATTAGAAGCAAAGAAAAGCACCATTGGGAAAGGAATACACTCCACAGCACAGATGAGCCGTTTCGCTTGGTATCGCAGACGATTCCCCCTGTATATCCAGCGCCTGCCCAGGACTGCGGAATTCTATCCTTTCAGGATAGAATTCCGCGACCCTGGGCAGGCGCTGCATAGCGGTTTCCCCGAGGAAGGTGCCCTTATAAGGGCCCTATCAAGCCACAACTTTACGTCCCAAACGCCCGCCACGCCCGCCCACAAATGGACGACCGTTCCTGACGCTCGTATTCATTCATTTGCTAAGCAAATTATGAAGCGACTGTGGTGCTGCGTGGATATACAGGGGAGGGAGGGGGGGGGGCAAAAAAGTCACTTCGACCGAGTCCAGCATATCAGCAAAGTTTTCGCAGCCCAGAGAGAAGACGTGGATACGAGTACCAGGGCGGAAGATACCCAAGATGTTCCTCGATAAGCAGGAGCTGGCCCTCGCCCATCACCTTCATGTACACCAAAATATGAAGTCATCTCCAGTCGCAGCCTGACTGGAAGAAGACCCAAAGTGCGGACGCGTCAGCGGACATCATACTTCACGGCCAGTCGCCAAGCCGCGTGTTGATGTATGGCCCGGACGCACCTGGAATGGAAAGACCAATATTTTCTTCGTGGACTCCGGAGCTGAAGCTGAGCGCTGGCGGTTACATCGACCAACTCAAGAAGAATATCTTCCCCACATGTCGTCGCCCGTACCTTCTTGGAAACTTTGTACTGCTACAGCATTGGGTGCCACCACGTGGAATCGAAGGGCGTTGGAGAAACTCTCGCCTACCTGGAATGGAAGGGGGCTGAGTACCTAAGAAATGGAATATCCCAATAGTCACATTGACCTGGGTCCGCGTCGAAGTGTGAACCCGGTTCGGGCGGAGTTCAATGTGGTCTACGGTGGCGGAGAAATCGACTATCTCGCTGATCTCAGGGACCACATCGCGGTTGCGTGCCAGAATCTTCTCGTATGGCTTCTCGCTCCAGAAAGCCTTGGCGATCATAATAGTATTTAATATGCTCTTTAATATGATGTAAAATGTCCGATCAGAAGTTTATAAAGTGTAACTTATAGCTCGAAAGTCAATGAAGCAAAGTGACTTTTTTTGGCCCCCCTGTATGAGTACACTTATGCAGCCGTATCTTCGGTAGCGGATTGGCAAGATGCCTACGGGAAACTCGTCCGAAATCGATTTTCAAGTCACTGAGAACGGAGGCTTTTTCTTCGCAGGATTTTGACCGTTTCACTCCGTTCTTTCGCCATTTCCCCCTACTAGCATTTTAGGCCGAGTAGGAAACCATCGTGCCAACTGCCTTTAAGTACTCATGACAGATGGTAAGTAGCACAGAAGTGAAAAGCAGAGAAAAACTACCTCGAAATGACCCATATGAAACCCAATGCTGAACTGCGCTTGTTCGTGCATAAGCCGAAGAAAGGACGGTGGTCGGGAGTTCTCACTTGTTGGTGTCACCGTTAATAGCAGTACAAAGCAGTACAACCGCAACATCAAGTAGCATTTAAAAGTGGAAGTTGGGCGTCACTGCGCTCAGCGGGGAGCCATGGTTCCGTCGCGGGCACTTACCTCACGTATTCTCGAGCTGCAGAATCGTGCACCTTCAACCACAGCATGCAGGATTACCATATTCAAAGAAGGTGCCCGAAACTCAAGCGAACGCGGAGCGTGCCTTTAATCTTGAAAATTTCATATCTGTTTGTGAAGCATAGGCTGTCAAAAACACGTATTACCAATAATAGTCTTCTTTTTTTCGCAGCACTCTCTCTCGAATCCATCTGCTATTCAAGGCTTGTTTCGGCTGACAGATAAAGAATCGGTTTGGATAAACGTATGTGCATTGGCAAAGCAGAGCAGGTATTTTTGAAAGTACTACTATCGGTTCCGAATCTTCATTTCTAAGCTTATTCCTTCAGATGGCCGGATGTTGAGAGGGTTCTCCAGCCAAAATCTCTTCTTGGTGCTCTTCAGAGTAGAGGTAGGTTTCATCGCAACTTCTAAGTT